TTCCCACTTTGGGTCTCTGGGATTCCAAGGCCAGTTCGCCTGGACAACACATAGGCTGAGACCTCACAGCCAGCCAACTCACAGAGCTGTCTCCACAGGCAGAACACAAGCCTCCTCCCTGACACCAGATTCATCAGACTGGAAAGGGAGAGGAAGAGAAGGTGGAGGGGGAGGACAGAAAGAGAAAGAAATCAAACCCAAATCTCATGGTGCCTCTAGAACTAAATATCATATTACAGGTAACCCAGAGGACAGCAGAACCTGTTAAATACCACCAAGAGATGCCATCCTCAAAGTCCTGACTGTGGGAAACTCCCAGATAAACAATCCAGGGACTGGGGCTATAAGTCTGTGGCAGAGTGCTTGCCTAGAATGTCCTAGGCCAGTGGTGTCGTACTTACGGCACGTGTGCTGCAACGGGCTGTTTGTTATCATTGAAAGCTCTAAAAGGTTCGCCATAACTGTCCTAGGCCCTTAGTTCTATCCCCAGTTTTTAAATATCACAACATATTAAAAAAGAAGATAAGGGCTGGAGGTTTAGCTCAGTGGCACCAGTGCCTGCCTGGCAAGTGCAAGGTCCCGAGTTCAATCCCTGGTTCCACAAAAAAAAAAAAAAAGAAGAAGAAGAAGAAGATAATCAAATTTCTTCAATAAATAAACTGTAAGGCAAAGAGTTGGAGAAAGAAATTTTACAGATTAAGAGATATATACCAATCACTCATTTGTTTGAATCCTGACTCAGAGAAACGTGAAAGCTTTGACTAGATATGACATTAAGACATTACTCTTAATTTGGAGGAGTATGATAATTATTTTTTAAAAGAAATCCTTAAGACACAAACTGAAATGCTTAAGAATGAAGTGCTCTAATGTCTGAGGTGTACTTTAAAATAATTTTGTGGGTGAGAAGGATGGTAAATAAATGAAGCAAGCTGGGTGTGGCATCACACATTTGTACATCCTAGCACTCTGGGAGGGTGAGGCAGTAGGGTCATAAGTTTGAGCCCAGTTAAAGCAACTTAAAGACTTAGCAAGACCCTGCCTCAAAATTGAAAATGTAAAAAGGGCTGGGTATGTAGTTCAGTGTGAAGGCCCTGGGTTCAATCCCAGTAAAACTCTCCCCTTCAAAAAAAAAAAGAGGAAGAAACAAGATTGGCCATGAGTTGACAATGACTGAAACTGAGTATCACTTTATATTATTCTCTGTACTCTTGTATGTTTGAGAATTGCCACAATAAACAAGTTTCTGTAAAACTTAGGGGATGGGCTTTTTCTAAGAACCCATGCAGGAAGAGCCCACTGGCCATCACACTGCACGACAGAGGGACCACATTTGGTAGAATCACAGTTCTCCGCACAAAGCCTGCCAGCAAGCATTTGCTAAAAGATGAGAGAATCCATATTTTCCTCCTCATAAAACCCATAACTAGAGTTGTCCCAAAATGCCTACCCCTATTTGAGGTGGGTTTCTCTCTCCTTTATGCTAACCGACCTCCAGTTCAGAGTGTCACACCACGGCCACACAGGCTTCATCCACATCTTCCAGAACATACACATTCTGATTATGTTTGTCTGCCTTCATCCTTCCTGCCAATGTGCCTGTTTCCCCAGTAGGGGTAGAGCTCTCCATCGCCCCCTTCTGTCCCCACTGAGGGAGTGCTGTGGACCTCGCCCTCACCTGTCCCACCTAGAAAAAAGCAGGCTCTTCTCAATCAAAGCATGTTAAAGAAACTCTCCATTCATCTCCAGGTAAGACTTCATCTCACTCCCTCCTCAAAATCATGTACAAACCCAACCCCTCTCAGACACCACACTACTTTTGTAGCAGAGCACCTGGAGATGCTCAGATAGGGGCAGAACTTCCAGGGTGTCCCACAATTCCACCAAGGAACTGTCAAAGTCAAAGTTGATGAGCACCACACCCATTTCTCCAATAGGCAAACTGAGCCTGGAGCTTTGAGCACAATTCTGGGAACCTAAGGAGAGTGTCTGGAACTCTCCTGGTTTAGGGCCTATACGAGATACTTGTCTCATCATCCTCCCTGGCATACCCTCCTGCCTCTAATATGCAATCTTTCCAAGTGGCTTAAAGAGAAGGATGACAAGGACCACCAGGACCATTTTAACCTGGAAGGGAAAGAGGCAAGAGTGTTCTCTGCTCCAGCCTGTCAATTAGAGGTGCTGAGAAGATCAATGGATGAATCAAGCCTTCTGGAAGGATGGGGAGGGGCCTGAGTCTGAGCTGGCCCTGTGATGAGAGAGGAGGAAGAAAGAACTCAGCAAATTTAACACTCAGCACACAGTTTGGGAAAGGTTTAAGAGAGGCTGGCAGCTGCAGCCTACTCCAGCCCCACCCCCACCCCCGTGGCCAGCCTGCACCCGCAGAGCAAGGGTCAACAGCGTGCACTGTGCTGATCTCAGATGCTTAAAGACAAAGAAACCCCAGATTACAGCAAGGGAAGTAAAGGTCATTTAACACTAAAATGAAACCAATCCCTCACTCTACTTGGGAGGTTAAGTCCACAGCCAGACCCATCAGGATGGCTGGAGCAACAGAAGAATCAGATGGAGGCAAGCATCACCAATGTCTGCCTACACTGCAGGGAAGAGCACAGTACAACCAGAGGGACAAGATACTGTGAGCCTGGGGCATCCTAGCCCCTGCCAACCCCTCCCTATGCCCTGTTCAGCTCTTCCTGTGCCTTACTGGATCCCCTAGACTCTCTCTCCCCAGGCCCAGGCCCATCTGGCTGCACACTTGGCCCATGAATGGCTGGTCTTGAACATCGTTAGTAGAGCTGTCACCACCAGACATCTTTCTTTGATCACAAAAGGCACCAAGCCAGCAAAAAGAATGGGAGCAGTTCTGATCAAACCCCTCCATCCTCATGTAGCACTTTCGACCTTGCAGCTACATCTTCACCCATTATTGCACTTGGGCCTCACAAGTGCTCTGGTCCCCCAAGTAGAAAATGATGCTTGGGGAGTTTAAATCTATATTATCATGGGCCAGGGATTTAGCTCAATGGTTCTGCCACCTGCCGGGCAAGCACAAGGTCCTGAGTTTAATCCCCAATACAAAAAAAAAATCCATATTATCATTTCATAGTCAGCATATGAGCCAGGGCTCAAAGTTTCAGCTTCCTGTGAAGGTCTTTTCCACCCTACCAGATATTCCATCCTCAGAGTCAGGACCTGGTCGGATACATCTGCCTTTCTGTGAAGTACATTTTCCTTTGCATCCCCTGAAACAGGCCAAGGATGTCTCAAATCAGTCATCCCACACATCTTCTAACTCTAGATGGCCAACGGGTTCACCCCCACTCTACAGATTAGATGCTGAAAGGCAAGGAACAGAAGAAAATCAAAGGCCAGGGACAACTGGTGCCCAGACCTGAAGCATTAGGCTCCAGAGTTCAACTGGAGGTTTTTCTGCTAGGCGCTTGTGTCTCCAACATCAGGCGTTCCTAGGCCACCTGCAGGATTTCTGCCATATTCAATACCACCTGTAGTTTTACTACTTCTATTAAGTAGACTCCTTCTTGTGATTGTATACATTTAAAGCAATGCTTTATATGACTGCCACAAATGGAAAAATCAGTACCACTGGCCATAACTAGAAGTAACTCCTAAAAATAAACTGTACAAAAACAAAATGATCTCCATTCTAGGCAAGCACTCTCTCCCACTTAAAGAACCTGGCCAAACAGCTGCTCTCTCTTAGTTACAAAAAGGAAATTATCAAGTGTTTTGTTTTGTTTTGTTTTGTTTTGTTTTAAGACCCTAAAAAGTGTTAAAAGGCCACACTAGCACCAACCTGAAACTTTCCCGTTGAAGAAATCATGAGTACTGGTAGAGAACGCAAAAGGGAAGAACTTTCTCACTGGGTGACTCAACGTTATTTCATACTTAACAACCTTAAGTCATTTCAGTAGAGTTTCATCCTATGCTGTGGGAAACGTCTTATTAGACTGCATTTTGGGAAGAGGGGGCAAGAGAGATGTAAGAAAACCCTACCACATGGGCAACTCATACTATCTTCTCAAAGTCTCTTTACTGCTCACCGCCACTCACTGGGCAGCCAGCTTCTGGGCAAGACAGGGGCTCTCAGTCACCACTGAGGTATCTCTGGCTTCGGTGTCTTTGTCTTATGCAGAGTGCACCACTAACCACTACAAAATTCCTCCAGAGATTAGGATCCTGCGGGGCCACCTGAAGTTTCAGCAGTGGCTCTCGTGCCCCTCGGCTGAGAGGCTTTGCCGTGTGCCCTAGCAGAAGAGGGAGGCTTGCTAGCATGAGCAGCTTCCTGGGGTCCGGTGGACTTCATCCTGCAGCTGGGGGATGGAGCCCAGGAAGCTGTCCCAGGACCTCCTTCCTGCACCTACAGCCCCACACTTTTCACCCCACAGGTCGCCCGAAATGTCTCTAAAATAGACCAAGGAAACATCTTCAACAGCCAGGAGCGAACAATTAGGTCAGCAAACCCAAGAAAGACAAGAACCAAAGAGGAAAACCAAACACACAGAAGCGGTGGGGGGCGGGGATGAGCAACCGCCAAACTTGCGCCCCGCCTGCGGGCAACGAACGCAGAGCAAGCGGAGCTCGACCAGTCGGGCACCTCGAGAGCTCAGCCAAGTTGCAGAGAAGCAAATGACAACACCAGCGCATCGAGTAGCTCGAGCTGAGCCAGTGGCTCGATCAATGCTACCCGCGCGGCAGGCTTCGAGACAAGCGCAGCCAGCGGCAAATGCGAGGTCTGGGGGCGAAGGGTTCTGTCGAGGGTCAACCCCGACACTCAGCCGGCCTTCCACTCAGCCGGTGTCCTGCCTCCGACAGGCCAGCGTCTGAGGCACAGCTCCGAACTCGCTCCCCGCGACCCGCCTAGTGAGGCGCCTTTTCCCCACACAACACGGAGCCTAATGCGAGTTGGAAAAGTCCATCCCAGAGAAAAAGGGTTCAGCCCGAAAGCGGAGAAGGGGGAGGGGCGCTGCCAGCTTTACCTTTTTTCTTTATTCTGTTTTCGGGATTTGTGCAGGAGTCCGATGAGCACCACAGCGGCGCGGATCCCCGCCTTCCGGCAATGCATCCTCTCCGCGGGCTGGGACATGGCGAGGCCACCGATGGTGCCCGGCCGCGCCCTCGCCCGCCCGCCAGCCGCGCGCCCCCGCCGCCCGGGCTCCACGCGCTCCGCGCTGCCAGAGCCCCGGTCCCGGCCCCGGCCCCGGCAGCCAGCCTCGCATGGGCTCCGCCCCGCCTAGGTGCGCCCCGGGGGTCAGGTGACCGGGCGCTCACTTCCTGGCGGCGACCTTCAGCGTCTCCTCGGGGCCCGAGGGGCGGCCGGCCTCCGCCCCCCCGGCTCGAGCATTGCTGAGGCTTTGCTGAGGCTCGCGCGGGGCGCGGCCCGGCGCCGGGGCTGCCCCGCTCTCGCTCCGACTCGTCAACCGCGGGACCCGCCCCGGCCCCGCCTCCGCACCCCAGCCGGCCGGGCGGAGGGAGGCGCCCTGGATCTCGGTGCCCGCGTTCCCCTCTGCCGTGCGACGCCCCCTCTGGCCCGGACTCTCCCCAGGCACAGGAGGCAGACACGCTCGCGAGCCCGGCCCGCCGGGATACTTCTCCGATGCTGTCACCGTCTCTAAAACACTGGGAGAACAAACAGGCAGCGGCGCGTCCTCCTACAGGCGAAGCTGCCTCCGCTCACCGCAGCCGTGGGCCTCCCCGCCCCAGGACCCGGCTGCTGGCCGTTCGAGGGGCTCCCGGGCCGGGTGGGGGTGGGCGGCTGGGCCGGGAAGGGCGCTACCTCCTGCCTTCCCCCACCCGGAGTCCGCGGAAGGTCTGTGGTGAGAGGGAGGAGAGACGAGCTGGGGTCAACTCTCTTGGACATTTGGTTCCCGGGTCCTGGGAGTTTGCCACCACACAAGGTCAGCGATCGACTTCGCAGACACCGCCTCTCCGCTGTGGGGACCTGGTTGCCAGGGAGATGCGGGTCGAGCGCCCTACCCCACCGTGTGCGACCTGCCCCCCCCCCCGACCTCCGTGTGCAGACTCCATCTTCGGAACGCAAGGGCGCAAGGTCACACACGCCAGCTCCTGGGGAAAGAGCCACCGCCGGGTCCTGGACGGCATGGGGGCCTCACTCACAAGTTCCCCTCAACCACTTCCATTTGCTGTAGGGCCGCCCAGACCCTCCGAGCTCTGAGGCATAACTAACCGCCTTGTCCCCTAGGGGAAAGGAACCCGGCAGGGGGCTGCGGGGAATTAAAACCAGCCAATTAGTCCATCTTCGGAAACAGTCCTGTTGGGCCCAAAGAGGTCCCCGAGGTAATTTGCCTTGTTTTTACACAGTCTGGTGTTCAGGCAAACAGCAAATCCAGGCAGGAGAGAGGCCCCTCCTGGAGAGGGGAAGGGGCTGCAAATGAATTCCAGGGCCTGAGGCGGCAGCCCTGCCTCTCCAATGGGCGCAGCTTCTTCCTAGCAATAGAGCTGAGATGGAGAGGAGGGAGTCCCGGAGTGGTTCCAAAGTGCACCTGGTCTATTTATCAAGCATCCATTAGCAATGGCCTTGAGCCCTCCTGAGCCGCCTGGGTGGTGGGGGATCACAGATATAGCCGTGGACGTCTATTTATAACCAGATTTGAGTGACTGGGACTGGCAGCTAGGCAGGCTGCAAAAACTACTACCCGTGGTGACTTCAGAACGGTTGGGAAAAGAATGGGGAAGTGAGCATCCTACATCCCCCAGTATCGCATAGTATCTATCGATTAGTTGATGGGCAACTTCAGCTGCATGGCAGAGTTGGCCATGGGTCACCAGCCATATGCTAGCATAGGTGTATTTTATCCACACACAAGGAAGGCTGCATCCCACTGGAAACCCTGTCTCCCTCCCCAGCAGGTGAGAGTGCATGCACCCCTACACACACACACACACACACACACACACACAAACGATCATCCCAGTGCATAGGGCCTGGTTCCGGTCAAGTGCACAACCACAGTGGGTAGCAGAGCATTGAGATGAGGATTCAAAATCTTTCCACCAAGCAGGTGCCAGCATTCATTCTTGTTCTGGGCTTCCAGGCCCTCTCAGCTTCCTCACAACCCCAATGTGACTATTTCCAAAAGACCATAACCTCTCAGACCTTGATTCCTAAGAGGTCAAGTGTTTCCTGAGTGTGGGACAGCTCTTCCTTCTACCCTGCCCCATAGCCTTCCACCCTCAGGGCAGACACAAGATTCCCCTGCTGGACTCCAGCTTCAACTCCCATGGCCCATCACACCCACTGCCCAGAGAAGAAACACCAAAACTCTTGCAGAGGATGTAATACCCGTCTAGGCTAGGCTTGCCCACTCTGTCAGTGTTTGCCAGACACTTACAATTTGTCCAGCCTTGTGCAAGAGACTGAGGTGGGAGAAATGGAAGACCACCCTTCCCCAGGACAAACAGGGCTAACACACACACTGCAAAACAATATCATTTCCAATCTAACGTGCACAGTAGCCCAGTGGTTCCCCAAATTAGGCCATTCCCATACAATCTTCACAATGTTTGATCTTAATGTCATACTGCTCAATTATTTACTTATTATTTTACATTCATTAAATCATCTCACTTTTTTTACTTAATGTTAAAAGAAACCATTATCACCACCTTAAATGAAAATCTATGCTCATTTCCTATCAATACCATAAAAACAAACAGATGTATTAAATTCTACCTCAGCACTATTCCCTGATGAAGGCTTTGAGCCTAAACACCTTCCTTATAAAAGAAAAATAGGCACAAGGATGAGGTGTTAGTGAGACACTTGGACTAAACTAAGACACTGCCCTTGAAAAAAAATCACAGCTTGGAAGCGAACTGAAAGGGAACAATTCTCACATTGGTGACTCGAAGGGGTTCTAGGGCCACAATGTCCATCGGCACTTTGGGATGGACAGAGAAAGGTATACATGTTCAGGCCATAGGAAGCAAGGTCATCGAAGATTTCCATGCTCAGAGAAGGGCTCTTCTTCCGGGCTACAGCCCACCTCACAGCTTATCCTCAATTCCCAGCCCCCGGAGCCCACAGTCCTGAGAACAAAGTGCCAGGCAGCTGCCAGCCTGGGGGAAACCCAAAGGCTTGTGGGGACCTGGGTTCACATGAGGGGGCAGGGATGGGAAAGTTAATCATGAACAGAGGGCAGACAGCTGCACAGCCCACTCCTAAGGGGCCAGTGGGTTGAGACAGACATGCATGCTTGGTCCTGAAGAAAGGGGCCTTCTGTGCCTGGGAACCTGCTCCAAGAGACACATCCATGTGAAGCAGGGAGTCAGCCCTGCTGCCAGCACCCTGCTTTCCGTCAGAGCCTGCAGCACAGGCTCTCTCTCTGCCCCATCCAACCTTGACCTCTGGGTATCTCCATCAGTTGCTCCGCAGCAAAATCATTGCAGCCATTCTGGGTTAGGACTGGGGAAGCCAAGGGCTGGAAATGGACTGGAGAGGAAGAGTAGGGAGAAAAAAAAATGGAAACAAAGTCTGTGTAAATAGGGAAGGGTGGAGGGGGTGAAGGGCGCATAGGTAATGGGGAAAAAATAGGAACTAAGATACATCATGTTCAGGTACAAACACCCAATGATAAATGGAAATGTATTGTATACCTAAAATGTACCAATTAATATATAAATAAAAATTAAAAACTTAAAAAATAATAAAAAAAAGAAAGCCAGATGTCTTCAGAGCTCGCCCTTCTTTTTCTCCAGGGTCCTCAGCCATCCCCTGGCCCACACAGCCTTTGGTTTAATGCAAGAGTTATAAACATACCAACCTTAGATAGAACATGCCAGCACGCCTACTCTCATTCTACCTTATGTATGAGGGCATGCACATACACACACCTGCTCAAGGAAATAATTCAGAAGCCTCCCTCAGACCTCACACTTCCCCACCCTTCCTTACACCTGCACTGTAAAAGCCACAGACTGACATTCTTATCAGGTACACTGGTGCCCCCTGCTGGGCTACAGCACAGTGGCGTCTCTGGGTGACTGCCACAAGGGGGAAGAGTGGAAAGGGAGAGGGAGCCATCAAGGTCATTTGAGGTGGGGAGTACTTTCTACTCTGAAAAGAGAGAACTGCAGGAAGAGTCTTCCGATACTCAAACTCTCCTCCAGCTCCTAACATCCCTGCCCAGAGCTCAACCCTAAACAGGGCCATCTCACTGAGGGTCAGGACATGGAGTCAGGACATCTCCAAGCAGGGATGGGAAGCCTCAAAGATAAGCCTTAAAAATCTCAGCTCACCCCTACAGTCCAGGAGCAACACATTTATTAAGCAGAGGCTCTGATGATAAACAGGCTCAGGATTTGGAAAGAAATCTTGGTGACTTATGTGGCATTTCCAAGCTCCAAGGAAAGGAAACCACACTGAGGAAGCCACAGATCCCACCCAACAGTGAGCATCCAGTCCTTGGGCTACACATCATCTGGCACCTAGAGTCACAGAGAAGAACCCTGCAAGGAATGATATTGATCAGAACTTTGCTGATTTCCTGTTAGGAGGAAGAAAGGAGTTCTTCATGTGTTGCTTTGGTTAATGAAGATATTTTAAATCTCTCAATCTCTCTCTCCCTTATGGATCTTTTTAAATTTTGGTTAAACTGCATGACTATAATTTCCCCCATACTAGAAACATTTAGAAAGATTCTCCTAAGCATGAAATTTCTGATGAACATAAAGAGGTGCCTTTGCCTTTTGCATGGAGGCTGCCCAGGATCACTCCAGAAAATCAGGAGCTCGGGTGGCCAGCAGCGCAATCCTTCTCGCATCCAGGGTCCCCTAGCCTCCACTTCCCTGATTAGCAGACCTCTCAGCTGCTGCCAAAGCCACTTCCAACCCGAGGGTTTCTGGGACTCAGTGGAAAGTCAGGAGAGAAACTGTCTTTCCATATTAGCAACATTGCTTAGCAACAACATCCTTCAAAGCAAGAACCAGCAGACTCTCCAAAACCCTATTCTATTTGGCTCTACAAGGAACAGAGTGGTTTCTCATACATGTATTATTTATATACTATTTTATATGCCCAGTAATGTGGTGTGTGCCTGGCTTCTTTGGGAGATGACAAATTACACTTATGTGAGATTTCCAGACGATTAAGGTAGCAAAACTTTGCATTTGCTTGCTTGCTAGCTTGCTGTTATTGTAACAACCTTGATTAGAATTTTCCTTAAATGTCTTACATAGTGTTGTTCTTTTCAAAGACAGGTTTAATGTAACCTTTTCAGGGTGACTCAGGACCATTATTATCAATATCAACTACTGTAATGAGCTAAAATGCAGTTATGAACTGACAGGCCACTGAGGTGAGAGACCCATTTGTCCTTGCATTTAATGGCCCCAAAGGAGCTGTAGTGAAAACATCACAGTAAGGAAACAAAACCACAGACCCTACAGATAGTCAAGCCTGAGTTAGAATCCCACTCCCAGTTTTCACTCCCTCAGGCTAAGATTAACCTCCTTGTGCCTCAGTCTCTTCATTTGTAAAATGGGGATAACAATAGTGCCATCCTCCCAGGGTTAGTATTGTGAAGGGTTCCCTCCCCCCATACTGGGGATGGAATCCAGGGACACTAGAGCTATATCCTCAGCCCTTTTTATTTTTATTTTGAGACAGGGTCTTGCTAAATTGCCC